CCCACCGTCAAACATGGAGGTGGAAACATGCTTTGGGGGCATTTTTCTGCTAAGGGGACAGGACAACTTCACCGCATCAAAGGGATGATGGACGGGGCCATGCACCGTCAAATCTTGGGTAAGAACCTCCTTCCCTCAGCCAGGGCATTGAAAATGGGTCGTGGATGGGTATTCCAGCATGACAATGATCCAAAACACACAGCCAAGGCAACAAAGGAGTGGCTCAAGAAGAAGCACATTAAGGTCCTGGAGTGGCCTAGCCAGTCTCCAGACCTTAATCCCATAGAAAATCTGTGGAGGGAGCTGAAGGTTCGAGTTGCCAAACGTCAGCCTCGAAACCTTAATGACTTGGAGATCTGCAAGGAGGAGTGGGACAAAATCCCTCCTGGTGGCCACCTACAAGAAACGTCTGACCTCTGTGATTGCCAACAAGGGTTTTGCTACTAAGTACTAAGTCATGTTTTGCAGAGGGGTCAAATACTTATTTCCCTCCTTTAAATGCAAATCAATTTATAACATTTTTGACATGCGTTTTTCTGGATTTTGTTGTTGTTTTCTGTCTCTCGCTGTTCAAATAAACCTACCATTAAAATGATAGACTGATCATTTCTTTGTCAGTTGGCAAACGTACAAATCAGCAGGGGATCAAATGCTTTTTTCCCTCACTGTAGGTTCGTAATACAATTATTCTCGCTTTAACATTTACTGAGTATGTATTAGTGTGTTTAACTCAGGTCTCCAAATTCAGATCGCAACGCAGAATACAGTTCTTATTAATAAGATTGTTACGCATGAAATCAGGAAAGAAACACGCAACCACTTCTGTGTTAATCAATTTTATTCTAAACGAAACCTTAACTTTACATGCGAACTCTCGAGCTTGGAATTTTCAACACAGCATCAACACAGTAATCATCAACGATTGCGTTGTTTCACTTTGGCAACTGCACATATGATTAATTCCACCGCGTAACGCGAGCTTAATTAGTGATAGAGAGAGTCGTTAAAACATGCATGTGCTCTATTCTAAACAAAAACCTTAACACTCTAATATGCAAATTCTTGTACTTGAAATTGTCAGCACAGTACTACAGGCGATGTTCATTCATTGATCCATCTTTTCAACCCTCAATAATCACGTTAATTGGGTAACAGAACAATTGATTACCACGAGTACCACGAGCATACGGAAAATACGAATAAAAAGTCCTTAAAAGTTCATCCGACCATATTCATGCGAAAATGCAGTCAAAACAATTATTCTCTAAGGCACAAATATACGTCAATAGATTCATCGGCAAGATTATATAATTATAGAAATGGCTTGGAGTAAGGGCGTGCGAGGTGTGCGTGCTCTCCCACGAGATCATTACCTTGGGCCGAACTTTAATTAATTTGTGGACAAGATTGTCTGATAAGGAAACCGGTTTACACGCTCATTTCCCCGTGAGCGTAGAGTTTCGTGGCGAAGGTTTCAAACGCTTAATTTATATTGATGAATCTATTGGTAATTTATGCGATTGGAAGTACAAATTACAAAAAAATTAATGTACTTAAAACGACGTATTCTCATCACTCGGTGAGCCGCGACGCCTTCGCGGCCACTGATGGTTCACGTACTTGACGATTAGGCTTCTTAATGGTTCGTGTGTGTGTTGAGTGATATGAATTGGGTTGAGTGGACCAGTGTTCGGAATCAATTCTTTGCGTCAAGAAGACGCCAGGTGGTGTCGTGGCAGTGTGGGGCAGAGTGCATATCATACGAACAGCGGGGTTTTCTTCTTTCACGCGGTCGGCCAGAGTTCGGCCCCGCAGCAGGTGGACGAGCTGACACGGTGCGCTGTAGGCGCGATGATCCGTCGGCAGATGGCGCCCGCAGCTCGTCTGTTGCTGTTGGCGAAGGTGCTCGCCGTTGGCGTCGCTTGGTGGCGCTATCTCTGGCGATGATCACCCTCTGGTGGCTGATGCTGGGATTCTCGTCAGCTTAGCTATCACTGCAGTGACCCTTGAGGGTCGAGGTTCAGAGTGGAATGCTTTTCGAGCGATACTTCTTCTGATGGTGCTGCATTCGCACGGCGTAGCATGTCGCTAACAGCGAGTCTCGCCATTCTGGGCGAGTTGTAGAGTCTTCTTCTGCGTCGTTGGTTGGCTGGTCTTCAGGTTGGTCGCCGTCTTCTTCCGCTGGCCGATGCTGAGCTGATCCGCTGGTCGCTGACTCTTTTGCTCACGGGCGGCTGGTCGGGCTCTTTCCGCCGCTGGATGATGAGCTGCGCCGCACGCGCTCTCTCCGTGGAGATGCGCACGATCACGCTCGCCGCTGGTTCGCTGGCACTCTTGCTCACGGGCGGCTGGTTGCGCTGCAGCTGGGAGCTGGCATTCGATGTAGAAATAAAAGTCTTCGAGCGATACTTCGTCTTTCAGCTCTGAACACAGGCTCGTTGATACATCGCTACTCGGCGAGCCTCGCCATCCTCAGTTGATCGCGGGGCCCCTTGGAGCCGGCCGCTCGCCGGCCTCTTCTGGCGCTCGCCGAGCTGTGCCTTGTTGAACTGTCGAGAGCTATTGTCGCTCACTCTCAAAACTTGAAAATGGTATTTGCATACCTCTTACACACCTCTGATAGCTTAGTACGATACAGCTTATCGCAATCCTTGATTCTGCAAGCGACTCACAACATCAGGATGAATGTAGAATAACTTTCAGCGATACTCTATCGGTCCATGCCGAACTCAGCACCTAACATCACCTCGCCCCTCTTCTCTGCGGGACACAGCACCCACTGCTAATGTCTCGAGGCCATGCCTCGGAGCTGGCTTGATGTCCTCTTCCGATCTGCCGTCTCGCTGTCCCTTGCCGAGCTTAAATGTGAAATTCTCTCTCCTCTCTCCGCGTCTCTTGCAAGAGAGAAAAAAAAAACAGATGCCCACTCTGCGTTGTGTATCATTAAGTCCAGCGCAGTGTGTACAGATGGCCCCCGCGATAATAAATTTCCCTCGCTCTGGTGTTAAATTCCTGCTCTCTCGCGCTCTGGGAAGACAAAGGCGGCCGGGAGGCTCCTTCCTAATGGAACACAGTCTATCTTGGCTGTGTAAGCCCGTCCCATTCCGCCTCATTCCATCTCGATAACCCTTGATGTAACATTGCATCGTTATTATCTGTTTCTGTCCCCAAGATTTGTGATTTAACATTGTATTAACTTTTGCTCCTTGCCTGTATCCGAGGGTCTGGGCTATTATGTATGAGTTATCTATTTTATTTTATTCCTGATGTCCTGAGGTTAGAGAATTCGTTTTGACTTAGAAATAACTCTGACTGCCAGAACTATTCTTGAGGCTTCGGTCATTTAGTATCGAATTAATAAATGGGTAATGATTCACTGATGTAGATTGTGGCCTGGTTTTTAATTGGAGTGAGTGTGAGGATTGATAATGTTAGCTTATCCTTGTAGTTGAGTTCAGAACTTTAACCGTTGTTTTAATAGCAATGAAGAGGACAATTGTTTAAACTTGCTTGTGTGCGTGGCATCACAACTTAGCGGGCTGACGGAGGGGGGGGGTCCCTGAAGCCTGGAATTCCCCCTTCCCTTTTGGTGACCCCGGGCGGTTGTGTTACATCAAATAGGTTTGTTTGTGAATTGTCCTTTGGCAATCTGGAGATTTTTCAGATAGTTGCTAACCTCCCTTTGGCATGTTCTGTTTACGTGACAACCCTTACTAGTTGGCTGTGTTGGGTGGTGGCGGGTTTTAACGACACATTTATTTAGTTACGCGATCTAACCCAAAAAACCTCTTATGGATATTGGTCGCAAAAGCCTCCGTGTTAAACTCGGTTATAACTGTTTTTGTACTTTTGATTTAAAGCTTTCGTGACTGCAGTAATTCATATTCTTAGTTTTTTCGGTAAAGTCACGTTGAAGAGAAACAACAAAATAATAAAATATATATAAAACAATAAAAAATTCTCACGACGTTTCGACCATAACTCAAACGGTCGTCTTCAGGTGTGTTGGTTCGCATAAATGTATTTTTAAACGGCGCATTTATTTATTTATTAAAAAAAACCGTTAGCGCCACGCGCAACGATTTGGCAGTTTGCCCAGGACTGTCCATCTATATTCTGAAAAGAGGAGGGGGGAGACGAATTTTTTTATAATGTATGCTGTCTGAAAGCCAGTTTATGAACTGACCATCCTTTGGTTCATGCGCTTCTTGTACAAATTCCGTGAGTAATACAAAAATGGGTAAATTATTATTTTATGACAGTAATTGTAAGTTCAAAACGTGATTTCATGAACTACAATTGTTTTGCCAAATATAGTGCCTAGCGTAAATCCTTGTGTATTAGAGACATCTTCATCTAGCAATTAATAGACCATGGTTGATAAATATTACAATGATAGATGAATCTATGAAGATGGAAAACAATTATGATGACGTTCTCTGGTCTGACACTGGTGAGACTAGGCCCTAAAGAAGGCTGTCTCTGGTACGGCTATTTTAGTACAAGCAATGGACAGGAAGTACAAGATCAATGGGCTCGCATAATGCACACGCATAATGTACGTTGATTCATTAATCCTCCCCCCCCCCCACCTTGGACAAGAAGAGTGCACAAGTGTTGTCATCACATCTACGCCTCTATATAAGGAACGAAACAGGTGGACTTCTCCACAAATCTGGCTGTCGCCTGATGAAGCTAGATGTGATTACTAGCAAAACTTATTCTTTGGTCTATCGGTAAAGTCACGTAGATGGTTCAAAGAAAATAACCATCTACGTGACTTTACCTAAAGACCCAAAGAATATGAATTCCTGCAGTCACGAAAGCTTTAAGTCAAGATTTACTTGCAAAACGTCGTACTCAGATTGTAAATGTTGTGGCTTGTCTCTCCAACACACCGGTGTGCTGTACTAGTGATGAATCGGCATGTTCTGTTTACGTGACAACTCTTACTAATGATGGCGGGTTTGACTAGACATTTCTATATTTACGCGATCTAACCCAAAAAAAACTGTATTATAGAAGTAATTGTGTTTTGTCGTTTTTCAGAATGTGGCTGGATCCCCGTAGCAGAACGCAGAGTGAACAGCCGGATCGTGGGAGGCTACGAAGCAAGGCTCTGAGAATGGCCCTGGCAAGAGAGCCTGCACAACTTGAACAGACTGACCTGTGGGGGCTCCCTCCTCAGTGACCGCTGGGTTGTGAGTGCTGCTCATTGCTTCCAGAGGTGGTGAGCGTTTCTGTTGCTTCACATGTCTTGTGAACACTTTACTCCGAGCTATACATGCTCTGATACGTGCATTGTCCTGGTACTTGTTCGCCTTTTGACGTTCTCTGGTCTGTCACTGGTGAAACTAAGTGCTAAAGAAGGCTGTCTCTGGTGTAGGCCAAAGACAATGCATATATTATCAGAGCAAGTTTATTTGCATGTTCACCACAAGTACGTGTGGTTAATACAAACTTGATTCCTTGCTAAACGTGTTTGAACATCTTAACACCTTAAATTTTAATTTAAAGCTTTCGTGACTGCAAGGATTCATATTCTTGGTTCTTTCGGTAAAGTCACGTAGAAAGCACCAAGAATATCTTAACACCTGTTTTATTGCCAGAAAGGGTAAACCCTATTTGTATTTGTCATACTTTAAAAGGATGCATTGTGTTAAATGTTACACACACAGCAGACAAGTTTGATAATCACAACTTGCAGCCCTTTGTCAGACCGCTTTTGGGATGAAGGCCTTCGCACACCGTGTTGGTCATGGGGTGTTGTTCGACCATACCTCACCACACTGGTCAGGAATAACTGTATCTGTGGTTGGGAATCAAGCTTGGGGAATTAAAACGTGGGCCAACAGTTTCGTAAGTGCAGTGTGCTAACCAATGAACCACCGTGATGCGTGCCGGCGCCACAGTCCAAATTTGCTTACTTGTAAAACTGACCCACACGAATTACTCAGTTGAGATTATACAGAGCAGCAGTCATCACCCCTACCGAAATAACTTGGCAGGACCCTCCTGAAAAAGTCCTGAGACTCAATGAGGCTTACCTTGGTAAAAAAAAAAAACATAATGCCCTGTATTATTTTATGCTGACTGTGGTGGCTGTGTATTTACCCCCCTAGTAACAACCCAAACACCTGGACGGTATACCTGGGCCTGCACTCTCAGAACAATCTCAGCGCTTCAACTGTCGTGGCCAGAAGCGTCAACAGAATCCTCATCCACGAGCGCTACAACGGAAGCAGCCATGACTATGACATTGCTCTTATGGAGCTGTCAGAACTTGTTTCCTTCATCGATTACATACAGCCAGTTTGCCTCCCACCTCGCTTTCAGAAGTTTCCCTACCCAGGGAAATCATGCTTCATTTCTGGTTGGGGAAAACTTTTTGAAGGTGGTAATTCCATAGGTGAAATATTCCAAACTTGGGAAAACACGTGATTTCAGAAGATACTTTGACCACTAAATAGAGCATAGTTTGAGAGATTATTTAGTATCCATATCTCAGTGTCTATGGTGTAAGAAAAAAGCAACCACAGTATTGTCATGTTTTGAGCCTCCACACGACCCGATTAATATTCTAATAAAATCGATCTTCTCATAGAAATCAGTTCCCTTCTGTTTAAACTCAGGATTACAGCCCTTGAGTTGTTTACGTTGGGTTAAATGTAGCACCTCTAATGTACAACATATACAAATATTCAAAAAATCCATTGATATACCCACGATTCAAGGCATGTATCGTGATTTTAATGTATAAATCGGTGCAATGTTATTTTCCGACAGCACAAGTTAAACATAATTGATAGTTGAACATTCATGTTATTTCGGGTGAATGTTTGTATAATGAAAATAAATATAATATACACATATCTTCTACTGAACAAATCCTTTGATTTAATGGAGGCCCAAATCTTTGTTAAGAAACTTTTTTTGTAAAAATCCATTGGAATAATGATGGCAGTCGGGTAGCAGAGCTCTCTGGTGCTCGAGGAATATATGTAACAGGCATTAAGCTGATATGCAGGTGATATGTTGTTAACATTTAAATGTACCACGATCTAAGTCTTGATGAAATATAGTACTTCACTTTAAGATGTTTTCTTGTTCGTGTTTTTTTTTGTTGTGGTTGCACCCGATTCAAGAGTCGAATGGCTCACAGGGCTATACCAAAATAAATAAATAACTGAAACTGAAACACGGTTTCCAACACGAATTCTTGTACTGAACAGGCTACACACCCGACCAGCTTCAGGAGGCTTCAGTAGAGATCTTGAAGACGTGCGTCACCCCAGGGCCGTAGGCCTATAGCCCATCTCTAATCACCAACAGGATGCTGTGTGCAGGGTACCTCGAAGGAGGGGTGGACACCTGACAGGTGAGCTGCGATAACAACCAACAAGATGCAACTCTCTTGCCTTAAAACCATCTGGAGCACATAACGACTCTGGGCCCAATTATGTTCCACCAGGGGGATCTTGGAAAGCAAACTTCTCCAGTCAATTCATGAACACATTTTGGTGCCAATTGACTGGAAGGAGCATGGGTGGGCCAACATCAACTGGACCTTCAACAAAAATGTCCTCATTCAAGATCCCAGTCCCATTGAACATTTCAAGCTGGCCTCAGTTGTACTGCTCTTTGCACTGAACATTTAAACCTAATTATCGGGCCTTCTGACATCCCCTCTTTGGTATCATGACATGTCATTGCTTATACTGGATCACTGTAATCATCGCTCCATCAGGCCTCCTTGTTCGTCAGTCATCTTCTAACATTGGTGTCGTGTGTGTCTGTTGCAGGGAGACTCTGGGGGTCCCTTGGTTTGCCAGGACTCAAACGGCCGCTGGTACCTCTCTGGAATCACCAGCTGGGGCTATGGCTGTGCACGGGCTTACCAGCCAGGTGTTTACAGCAGAGTCACCAAATTCTTGGACTGGATTCACCAGAACATGCAGTAGTCTATTATACCATCCTGCACCGACATAACACTATAGATCATGGATATTAATGATGGGAACTGTAAATGAAAATAATTAATGCAGGCAATCAATATGTAAAAATAAACGCATTGTAAATTGTTGTTAAAATGTTCATTTATATCGCTGAATACTATATTTTAACTGCACCAGAATGTAATAAGGTTTGCAAGTCAATTGATGAACAAAGGTTTTGGGTCAAATCAGACAACTCTGATTGTTTTTTACACGGTATTTTGGTTTTGCAACACCTGTAATGGGGCCTGGCAGAGCAAAAATGCCTATGATGTAAAAACCACTGGACCAAGGTGGAAGGGTGATTGATGACATTGGCAGGAGATGAATACAGAACTTTCTATTTTTCAATGTTGCTTAATTCTTTCAACATTGACACAATGGACAATTGATAGACTGTCTAATATATTTGACCCAACCTGATTATACATGACAGCAAAATTAATTGCTGTCTAAACTATATACGATACATTTATTTGTTATATTTTGACCTGTGCCATCAACTCGCGTCTCTCATACATTAATTGCAATGGCTGTGGAGCAGTAGGGGTACTCAGAGGCGATCTATAGATCTTCTAGGGGACCACTGCAATGATCGGCGCATCCAGACGAGATGATGCGTTCCACAGGGAAAACGTCCTTCATGGAGGTTGTCTAAGAGTGTGTCCGTGGCAAGGTTATCGGTGATTTACCTTCACCTTCCCTGGTCAACACAGCCCATGAGTTTGTGTGTTTTGGTTTAATAACTACATAAAAAAGAGACTGGTTTTGCACAAGGAGGCTGCAAAAAAAAACAAGTTTGTGATGCAATTCGCTTGTCACATTAAAGTTACTTAAGACGCCTCTGTGTAAATGGCCTGATATAAAAACCATTGTCATAGTGTGCGTAAGAAAACTATGGGAAAATGTAATGAAGAAAATACTTTATGGAAATATATTTAAAAAATATAACATTTTAACTGTTTTTGTGGTATTCCAAAAATCATGGCATATTTGATTGGGTAAGATGGTTTACTAGTTGGGGTAGCAAATGGCAATGATCCTTCATAATGTGAAAGACTGAAAGCTGCTCTTATGAAATTTAAACTTCTTTTTAAAAACTGATTCACACGAAGCGACATGCTATTTGCCACAACAATCCGTAATATATCTAAAGCATTTGGAAATCGATGTATGCTTAATAGTAATCTGGTGAATAAAGATTTTAAATGTGTAAAGTATAACATGTGTGTGCCTGGGTGACTTTTGGTCAAATCTTTAGATTAGGGATCTTATAAAAAGTTCCGCGACTTTCTATCAAAACCTCCGCCGCAGGGGCCGATCTTGACACTGCTGGCACAAGTCATCAACAAGTCAAATCAGTTCCAAATCGTCTTGTGCCACATCAGTCCATCTCTTTTCGAGCCTGTGCCACACCTGTGTAGACCCAACTAGTCAAACAGAAGCTGATTCGGCATGCCGTAGATGTACATGCAGGATATATGACCCAGACAACTCAGCCCTCGTTTGACAGAGGGGCTCTGATGATGGGAATGCATCCAGATCTTTGAAGGATCTGTGAGCTCACACAATCGTCTGGTTAAACCCAGGATAGATTGTAGGCAGGCTAGCCTGAATGTTTAAAACCGGCACAGATGTTCCATTCGAGGGCTCCACATTTCGCAAGCTTAGAGAAGTGACAACTGTGGTGGAGAAAACCCAGAGCTTTGAAGTGATAGACCAAGTTCCTTCCACACAGCGTTACGCAGATAATGAAAATATACTGCTGCTCGAGTGATTCGTATTGAGGCATGGGCTCCCAAAACAGGAGCTAGTCATAATCACACTACCCAGGTATGGATCATTTTATTAAATAAAATACCCAGGCAGGTGCTTTGTGTTGTGGGGCTGATGGTAAGGCATCATCTATTCGTAGCAAGCACCTATGAAGGCCGGAAGAGTTCACAAGGTGTTGGATGGCCAGCACCATGGCAAACCGCCTTTGTCTCCGCAGTTGCGATCCTTACCACACCAGGTACTCATTTGAGGCTGAGTCGACCTTGGGGAGGCCCAAGATCGGTTCAGATAATCGTCACTGGTGTTAGCGGGAATCGAACTCGTGTTGCTGGGTTTATAGCGCTGCGGACTAACCATTGCACCCCATCGCTCCCCACTATTCATGTTTCTCTCAACAACAAACATAGATCCCCCGCATACCCTTAACAGATTAATGGGAGAAGTGCTGTTAGTGAGCACCCATGAAGGCCGACACGCCACACGAAGGAGTGGGTGGCCAGCACTACGCCCGGCCGCCTTTGTCTCCCTAGTGGCGATGTTTACACCGCACCAGGTACTCGTTTTAGGCTGAGTCGCCCTAGGGCAAGTCCTGGACCGGTTCAGATTATCGTCACTGGTGTTGTCCGTGAGCGGGAATCGGAACTTGGGTCGCCAGGTAGCGCAGCGCGTTAACCGCTACACTACCGCTCCCCATATTTGTTTCTCTCACAAACTCTCACACACGCTTTTTCTCTGTGTCTGTGTCACTCCCTCTCACGCAAACACACACTCTGTCCCTCTCTCATTCTCTCTCAATGATTCACTCCGTCTCACGCTCTGTCTCAAGAACAGACACTCTCCATCACATTGCACACTCTCTGTCCCTCTCTTTTTCCCACACACGCATTCTGTCAACCACACTCTCTGCTACATCACTTACTGTCTCTCTAAAACTAACTCTCTCTGCATCTCTCCCTGTCCATCTCTCGCACTTTCACACACTCTGTCTCTCTCTGTCACTCTGTCACTGTCTGTCTCTGTCCCCGTCCCTCTCTCACACACTCTGTATCTCTCCCTGTCCTTCTACACTACCGATCCCCACACACACAAAGCCTTTACATTTGGGGCAAGTGCTGTTTGCGAGCACCTATTAAAAGGCTGCACGTACAAAGGGGCCAGCACCACGCCCGACCGCCTTTGTCTCCCCAATGGCGATGTTTAGACACCGCACTAGGCACCCATTTGAGGCTGAGTTCACCAGAAATATCGCTACATATTACCTGGTGATGCCACATAAATAATAAATAACTCATCAAATAAGGGCCTACTGCAAGATAACTTCGCCTCTTATATGTGTAATGTATTTTCCATTTAAGTCCGCAGAGTGATTGACGAACGCGTTCGTGTTTAGAGACCACCAGCCTGGATATCCCGGCCAGGCAGCTCGTGGTCATGTGACAGACGCGCGCCTCCCACGTGACCGGTAGTGACGTCACGCGAAGACGTTGGACGTGACGTCAATCTCAGCAGTCCACCGTCCCCACAGAAGCCGCTGGTTCCGAAGAGGCGGAGCTCAATCTGCTTCTACATCGCGTCTTGTAGGGATTTATTTCTTTATAAAGATGTACATCTTCATGAAGGACATCAACAGCGCTACGATGAAGACCAACTCACAAGGTTTGTGTGTGTGTGGTCAACCTGCCGTAGCGCTCACCAATAAATCAGAATCAGTTTTTTTAGCCTGGAAAAATCCGATGAGCTATGAAGCTCTTAAATTTCGATTTAAAGCTTTCGTGACTGCAAGGATTCATCTTCTTTGGTTCTTTCGGTAAAGTCACGTAGAATGAGAACAAAATAATAAATTGATAAAATAAAATAACACAATAATATTCTCACGACGTTTCGGCCACAACACAAGCGGCCTTCATCAGGTGAAGGGACGAGACTGTCTGGAGGACAGCACTCCAGACAGTCTCGTCCCTTCACCTGATGAAGGCCGCTTGTGTTGTGGCCGAAACGTCGTGAGAATATTATTGTGTTATTTTATTTTATCAATTTATTATTTTATGAAGCTCTTGTTTAACATGTCCAGTAAAATATGTACACGATAAACTTTATTACACACCACACACACGGCTAACTCATCACTCGTGTAAAATAAACACGGGCCGTCCATAAATGACGTCTAGCACCTAGTGGGGGGGGGGGGGGTCAGACATTTGTGACGATCCATGTCTTGCTCCCAGCGCGTGTAGACAGCCTCAGGCCTTAGCTTGGCCCGACGCTGGGCCCACCAATTGCTGAACTATCTGGAGAATTGTGGAGGGAGGTACACATGTGCAGACACAGAGACACCCTTACACACGTGCATATTAATTCGTGCATCAACTCTAGGTTGGCTATTTCATAGCTTTACACTGCGTTTTCAGGTTTTACCATGTGAACATCCCAAGCACGTGGAGCGAAACGTCAAGACATGCCAAACAATATGCAGTATAACACAAAACATGTCAGAGAGCTGTACAGAACTGCTAAAACCTAAGTAGTAGCTGTTTTTCATTTAGCTCGTTGTCAATCCACTACACTCTTGTCAGTCATGGGAGTTGCTTGTCTAATATTATGAAACTATGTAGCAAGTGTCTGATCGGAATAACGCATGATACTCACGAGGTGAACTTTGTCCAGTTGACTGGTGTTCACTGCTTAGCCGGTGCACACTGCTAACAAGCTGTCGACCTGAGTTTTATTCCCAGCCGTGGCTAACCTCAGTGGGGAGTGGTATCTGAATCAGTTCTGCGCACTAGCTTCACCAACCCGAAATGAAGACAGTGGTGATGTATGGTCAGATAAGCCCCAGGACCCAACTGGCATGAGGCACCCCTCATTGAGCAGTGGATTGACAGCACTGTACATGTGCATGTGGGTCTGGAATGCTATTGCCAATAAACTTCAACTTGAATCACTACCTATGAGATCTTCACTCAAAACTGCTCTAGAGGAGTTGTACACCCCTAGCTGCCACTGCTATTCAGTGGCCTAAAATATGGCTCTAGATTTTGGTGTTATAATTTATTTATGTAGTTTATTGTTAAAAATTCGGTCACAGTCCCTATGATCACTGTTACATTGCATTTATGGCTTTTATTTTGGTGATTTCGAAAACGTTTTTTTTGTTTTTGGCCATGTTTTTGTTTATTGTAGTACGGAGTTAGACTGATGGCCTTAATCTTAGTTGTCTTGTGGTTGTTGTTGTTATTTGACTTGCATCCCACTGGGATTTTTGCACACAGCGTTGGTGTACGGTGCTATTTCAGGAATATTTTTATAGTTTTTTTCCTGGATTTTCTGTTTGCACAGTCACATAATCACTTTAAGATGTTTTCTTGTTCATGTTTTTTGTTTGTTGAGGTTGCACCCGATTCAAGATCCGAATGGCTCACAGGGCTATACCAAATAAATAAACTATGAAACTATGATGATGTGTGACGGGGGGGTGGGGTGGGTTTGAGAAATGTGACGTCACATCAAAATGCGCCACTTTAAATAAATATAGAATTTTGATTTAAAGCTTTCGTGACTGCAGTAATTCATATTCTTAGTTTTTTCGGTAAAGTCACGTTGAAGAGAAACAACAAAATAATAAAAATATATAAAACAATAAAAAAATTCTCACGACGTTTCGACCATAACTCAAACGGTCATCTTCAGGTGTGTTGGTTTGCATAAATTTACTTTAAAACGGCGCATTTATTTAATTATAAAAAAACTTTGGCGTCACGCGCAGCGATTTGGCAGTTTGCCCAGGACTAGTCCATCTATTTTTTTTGAAAAGAGGAGGGGGGAGACGAAATTTTTATAATGTATGCTGTCTGAAAGCCACTGTAAGCGTGAACAATCAATTAAGAACTGAAATGGTTTATCAAATCTTTCCAATGATTGCTAAGATAGAATCCATCTTCTCGGTTGAAATTGTCTCTGTGCTTGTATATGTGGATAGCCTCATGAACGAATCTCTCATGGAAGCCAGATGGCTTACAAAGAACCTCCGTCTTGGAAAAGTCAATGGCATGTGAGCCTACTGAATTAGAACAATGATCTGCTACGGCCGAGGTGTTGGTCCTACCGTGTTTAAGGTCTGCTTTATGTTCACGAATGCGGTCCGAGACATGGCGTTTGGTTTCTCCAATGTAACTACTACCACAGAGGCAACTTAGTTTGTAGACACCAGGGTATTGTATGTCCGGAATCACATCTTTTACAGACGGAACCAGATCACGGATTTTATGTAATGTGTTGAAACGGACCTGGATCTTGTGTTTATTCAAGATTTTGGAGATCTTTTTTGTGATCCCAGCAATGTAGGGTAAAGTGATGGTTTTGAAAGGCTCCTCAAGAGGGTTCTTCTTCATGGTTTGAGTGATAGCTTTGCGGATTGTATAGTCGGAGTAACCATTAGCCCTAAGAGCTTGGTGTACGTGCTTGATTTCACTGCTTATGTGTTCCTGGTCGGATATGCATTGGGCTCTATGATACAGAGTCTTGATGAGAGAATTCTTCTGTGATGGATGGTGGTGGGAATCCGGTTTCAGATAAGCATCCGTATGGGTAGCTTTCCTGTAGACAGAGTGGCTCATTGAACCAGTTATAGCTAACATTTTCATGGAGAAATTTGAGACTGACGCCATCCAGACTGCCACTCTGCGCCCAACCTTATGGAAGAGGTACGTGGATGACACTTTTGTCATCTGGCCACATGGCCGGCCTGCTCTAGACCAATTCTTCGACCACATCAATTCCATACACCCAGCCATCAGATTTACCATGGAAGTCGAAATAGATGGCAAGATACCTTTTTTGGATGTCCTAATTAAAAAGAGACCTGATGGTTCAATGAGCCACTCTGTCTACAGGAAAGCTACCCATACGGATGCTTATCTGAAACCGAATTCCCACCACCATCCATTGTTGTTATTGTTGTTATTTGACTTGCATCCCACTGGGATTTTTGCACACAGCGTTGGTGTACGGTGCTATTTCAGGAATATTTTTATAGTTTTTTTCCTGGATTTTCTGTTTGCACAGTCACATAATCACTTTAAGATGTTTTCTTGTTCATGTTTTTTGTTTG